TGGTGTGTGTTATCTGGCTTCATGGACAGATAGAGCTGGGTGTCATCTGCATAGCAGTGTAAATGTATGCTATGTCTTCTAATGATGCTGCCTAAGGGAAGCATGTATAATGTAAACAGAATTGGTCCTAGCACTGAACCAGTTCCGAAGTTATATTACCCGGCAAGCAGGCAACAGAAGAAAGGTTCAAGTGTGGAACCACCAGCTGAGGTCATTCTGTGTATATGTCAGGTATATAACACCCAGAGCCTACAGAAAGTAAATAACATTTAGCAACTTTGCCTGACCTAATAGCAGAGGACTTTGCACCCAGTGTAGACTTAGCATAACTCCAAAGCATTCAATAGACGGGGCAGACCCTAAAGTCATCAAAAGTCCAAATAAATTTGGGAGACAGTAGATGTTTGGAGAAGTATGAAAGAGGGTATTTGCGTTCGACACCAAAGACCATCTTAATTAGAACGCCACCAACAAAATAGTGTAAATAACAGCTGAGCCATGGAAAAAACTATAACAAACTGAAAGCTCTGAAAAACGATGAACCTTGACTTAAGATCTTTTGCTCGTTGTTGTGCTCCTGTGATTGGCATTCACTTTCTAACTTGTCTTAAATATTCTTCTCCTCTCTTTATGCGCTACTTTGTGTCTTCTGGTGGCTCTTTGCTGTTTTGGTATATTTGCTATGGATATTGTGTCTCTGATGACCAACATTCTGGCCCTGAAGCACCAAGAGGACATTGGGTCATCTGCCGAGTGTTCGAGTGATGATGAAGATGAGGAGGAGTGTGAAACTAGCCGTACAGGTGGGCTAGGTTAGTTTGCATTTGCTTGCTTTCTATGTGCTGTCACTCATCTGCAATAGAGGATCGAGGTATCCTTAAAGCATCACGCCCCCATGGTCAGTCAAAGTGTATCTTAATAAATGGCCAAGGTGGTAACAGTAAGCTAAGCCCAATTCCTCAGCAATACTTAATGTAAGAAAACTGGGTATTCAAATGTATTTGTACATTCAGAATCTTAATTTAGCACAGTGCTAATTTATCAAGGTCATGAGCTACACTTGCACATGGGGTTATACAAAGTAGTCAACATGGTCACCAATGTACATTCAATTGTTGTCTGCTAAGGGGGAAAATGAGGGTTAGTCCATGTCATCACCAGTATGCCGAGTTTGTATGATGGTGAACCATGTTCTCTGTACTGATGCTGAACTTATAACATCATGTTTGAGTCCATTGCTTCTGCCATTCATTGCTCTGTTGATTTTAAGTTTCAAACAGTACATTTGAACAGTTTTTGGTTTTAGATTTTGTGTTCAGCTAAAGTGTTGTCTAGTTTACATCAATGTATTTTAATTTTGGTTTCTATTTGTGCTTTCCCAGATTTAGAGGCTTGCATTGGTACATGTGCTAGAGAACAGATATCATTGAATTTCTGTGTACAGGTTTTTCTTTTTTTGGGTTACACTTTTGCTTTTAGGTGTACTTGTTATTCTGTCTTTTTTGTACCTAAATATTTAAAATAAACGACTAAATAAATAAAATGTTGCGATAACTTAACACTCAAATTGAAAGAGTTTGGGAATTTCCATATTTCAGTTTTTGTAGTGGACAGTTAACAGATATATTTTTGCTATGGCACAAAAGCATAGACACGTATTTCTTAGGTTGATAAAAAGTTGAAAGTTGTTAGTTTTAATATGATCACAGGAACATCCACCAGGTCACTCAGGAGTTGGGGTAAGCTACATCTTAGCCACACACCAAAAAGTATTTTCAGAAATGGAAAAGACGTTGCTTTTCACGTAAAGTGTTTCTGTGATAAGATTTATTGTAACACTAAACCTGACTCTACCTTTAACACCCAAACAGGTCATCTGGTGGATGTAAATAGGTGGAGGTTCTGTATCTCATTAACAGCACAATCGTTGATGTGAAGGTTGATTTTCACCCAAATAGTAAATGTAATGCCACCAAAGTGGAGCTATGGGTGTGAACTGCATGTTAAAATATTCAAATTCCAAAACAGTCGAGATATCTATCAAATCACAAATGTTGGAGGCGATAGTGTGATAAAGAAACATTTACGCCGTTTCTTAAGTTCCCTTTAGGGAAATGGATATAGTGTGATTCCTAATCCGGAAAGATGATGTTCATCACAACATATGCCCTTACTGAAGGTCATTCCCAAATTTTTTCAGAGTATGTGAAATATTGTTGTTAAATGGGTTTAAAACGGTCAGGTCCAGGGTGAGATCCATGGGGATTTGTGAAGAAAGACAAAGACAGGGCCCCAGTCATCCAATCATATGTTTACACAGAAATTCACATCATTCTAACCCGGACATCACGTTGACGTTGACAGCTGCATGCTTTGATTTTACTTTTCTTTTGCTCCTTTTTCTAAGTCGATGCTTTTTTCTGGTTGTTTTGCATTTTTTAAAGTTTTGTTGCCAAGACTTCATTCCCGCCTTTTCGCCAGTTGTCTAAAAATGCATTTTTGTATTTTGGCCTCATCATGTGTGGCATGACGTTTTGGTGGGTGACAACTGTTTCCAGCTGTTAAAAAAAAAAGAAAAAAGAAAACACACACACATCACCTTATTATTTCAAAGCAGCTACAAAGGCAGAAAAAAGAAACTTTTCTTGCCATCAACGTTTTAATCCTGAACATACCGAGTTCCACACGAGACTGACGGCAGAACCGGTCTGCTGTCCTGCTTCGACTTCCTTTCTAAAGCTGCTTTACATTTGAACATGTTTTGGTGCTGATGGCAAAAAAGGACTTTTTGCCACAAATTCTGCTTTCTTCATTTTCTTTTCTTAAGCGATCATTGTTATCATGGTATGATAAACTCTAAAAATCATTGACTTCAGGAAGATCGTTTCTTGCATGTGTTTTGACTGATACCATGCGCCTGCAATTACACAAACTTGGTTGTTTTGTTTGCATTTCTGTTTACGTTGGAAGCCATTTTTTGTGGTTGCATCATCATCAATGGTCATCTTTCTCACTCAACGCGGTGTTTTTCTTCTTTTTCTTTCCTTTTCTTTTCTTCGTGTGGCTGTTGTCTGTCTGGTTTGTTTAGAGAATTTATCAAGTGATTCTGTTCTCTGTTGTAAATTTTCCGTTTTCCTTTTTTTCTTTCAGTTGATTTCATAAGATGGCAACTAAAAGGGCTTCTTAAATGGTTTTACTGCAAACTATTAAAAACCTTCAGTGTGCAAATAAGCAGGTTACATTTTTTCCATGAAAAAGGCCAACAACCAGTAACAAATATTGTGCTAATCCTTCATTTAAATCCTGTAAGATGCTAGCATCACTCACTGATGAGACTGCACTAGAGACAAACATAAACTTCTGACTCAACATGTCTAACTAGATCAAATCTGAGAAGCATTTTCAGTTAATTGTCCAGTTGTTCTTATGAAAAATGCCAAAAATGTTGCAACAATAATTGTTTTATCAAACAGGGTAGAGAAAAAATAACTTGGATCATATAATATTAGTTTGTGATTGCAGGGTTCGGCTAAAGATGCATTTACATTCTGTCATAGGGTTCCTTATTCTTCTCTAGTTTTTACTGAACTATACAGAATAAAATCTCTTTGACTCTTAAGTATTATTTAATAATATTAAATAAAATGTTAAATAGTGTTTTTGTACACACATTTAGGAAAGTTTGGCTCAAAAATAGGTTGTACTTTAAGACCGTACATCCCAGCAAGTCTCGATGAGTTTTACCTTTGGAGACAGTATTTATCAGTTCAAGCATTTCATTTTCTTCTGATGTTTTGATTATCTGGGGGATCTTGGCTGCATCAAACTTGCTTTTGGATATTTAGGCTCCTTCTTCTCTTTAATTTGATTATCACAAAGGTTTGTCAGTTATTACCAGGATGAAGTCGTCTTTGGCCTATGAACAGAAAAATATCTTTCCTTAGGGTAGTTGTTGCAGTATAATGTAGGATCTTTGGGAAATTCTCGTGGTCTTCAGATAACTGCTATTCTAGTGACTTTACTTTCTTATCCTGTGGCTCCACATAGGTTTTAGCAACCTATGCAATGGATTTCACCCATAATCAACCAGTGTGATAAAAATGAAAGTAACAGATAAAAGCTAAGCCATAAATTTAACAATAATAATGATAATTTCCTTTTTTTAAAGGGTTCATTTTAAAGTAAATTATTATATAAGGGAGGGGTTTAGAGACTATATGCTGGATGTGCACTCAAACACAAATCACACACAGAAAGGTGTTGACCATTTTCTGAAGCGTGACTGATGATAATATTTTTTTTTTGACTTCCTACAACCTCTGACATTGTTTATTTAGTTCAGGCTAATCAGAGATTTGCCATCTTATGGAATTCATGTCGAATTCAATTTTGACCTACATGGAAAAACATGTAGTTATAATACTGACTCATATATCAGATGACACTACAGGTTTAAAGCTGATATCCTTATTTTTTGTATCATCAAATGATAATCATTTCTATTTATGAGAATTGTAGAATAAGTTACATTTATATATGTTTAAATGCTGCAATTATTCAATGACAATAGAATGTTTCTGAACGTAAAACGATATGTAGAAGTGAAAGACATAAATGTCATCAGATGACATATTACACTATATCATTGTTTATTTTGTGCAAATTGAGCTAAAATGCAGAAGCAGCGTGTGAAAATGAAGTATTCCTTCAACAGAAGATGGGAACAAAGGTCTCGGCCCAGCGTAACGCCACAACTCCTCACTGAAAGGCTGTGCCAAGAGATTTATAATAATAACAATAATAATGGATTGCTTTTACAAAGCGCTTTTCAGGGCCCTCAAAGCGCTTCACAATTGCAGTATTTATTCACTCTCACATTCACACACTATTTATGTATAAACTAATGTTTAAAAACTTCAATGGGCCAGAATTCCTCCATCACAATATGAGAGACTGATAAAGCTGCACAGGAAGTTGTTACTGAAGGTGTATTGAATCACTGGGTGTACTTTTTTCACACACTGCTTCTGCACTTTGTCTTGATATATCAAACCTTAAAACGGAAACATATTGTACTTTCTGTTTCACTGTAGTTATATTGATACAGGACAACAAACATTCTGACACTACAAAGACTATATCCCAATTAAAACAAGTGGTTTCGTTCATTAAATAAATAAAGTTTTAAACCAAGATTGCAGTCATAAAACTGTAAATGTTACTATTCTCAATAGTAACATTTACAGTTTTATGCTTTATTAAGGTTTAAAGTAACAGTTTCTAGGATTTTTGTTTCAAGTCTTTAGAAGTAACACAACTGTAACTAAACCTTAAGCTCACTGATGAAACGATTGCTTTTATATTTGCGGCAGTACAATCTGTCTGTCAAAAGCAACACAACTAGAAAGAAGCAAATAAGTTACTGCTGACGCTAATGTAAACCAAAGAGTTCCTACTGCTGCGTCTTCATCTTGAAAACATTAAAGCGGGGAAACATGAGCTGACTTTTCATAGAAAAGAGAACACAGTTGACCTCCGCTAAGAACGAGCTCCTGGCCACAGGAAGGAGAATCTCCCTTTTAACAGGAAGAAACCTCCGGCAGAACCAGGCTCACAGAGGGGCGGGGCCATCTGCCCCAACTGATTTTGGGTGAGGGGAGGAAGACGGGAAAGAACACATCCTGTGGAAGAGAGACAGAGATTAATAATAACAAATGAATAAAGTCTTGTATAAACCCACAGTGAATAAGAAAGAGTGACTAACCCTAACAGTGAAGTGTCTGTCTCCTGGATCCAAACTGGAAGCTGGTTC